TGGTTTTAACACACTCATTTTCAAGTTTTGAGATATATGTGACAAAAAGTGTTGTAATCTCCCGAATAGTACCCTGCCTAGTTGGTTACGTTGATTGACTTCATGGTTGATGCTAAACATAACAAGATAGATAAACAATTACTTTTGGGTAAACAAACATGAGTGTTGTATTCCCAATAATTAAGTGTGACATGGATGTCACTCTTAACCTTTGTCTTGTCTATGTTCATCTTAAGACCTATCCATTGTGTGGTGTCTCAAAATTGAAGTTTTTGAGCATAGTGCTAATGTCCTTTAGCAATTCTGCTTTAATGACTGTATAAGACTATGCAGTAAGTCAATGGATGCAGTTTTGTAGCATTCCTTGGGAGTGGCCTATGTTTAGTAGTAGACTTATCAAGGGTTGTAATGTCAATGATCTTCAATTGATCTGATTAATTGTTCATTTTTCTTCTTAATATTTTTTTTATCAATTATTTCATAAAGGTCTTTTAAAATATATTTCATTAAACTTCAATTTAAAAAAGATGCTTATATAAAAGTATGCTGGGCAGGCAAATTGTTGGGAGCAGAAACTTTACCCCTGCACTGCTAATGTTGCTTCCCATCATCATGTACGATTTGGGTTTTTCTGAGTGAATATAACTAAATAATTTATATAATCATTAGGTGGACATGTCTAAAGTGAAACTGGATGTGCTGAAACCATGGATCACACAGAAGATCACTGAAATACTCAAGATGGAAGATGACGTAGTCATTGATTATGTCAACAATCAACTCGAGGAGAAGGTGACTAAAATAAATTATTATTTACATATTAAATGTTAATGAAGGAATGTAATCATTGCAGTTTCTTTGCTGTCGATTCTTTAACTCGTGTAGATGTTAATAGAATGGAAATGTTTAGCTGTTTTAAAGAAACTGCAATTGAATTTTGTCATATGTATATTGATTGCGTATGGATATTTTTATGGTCCCCACCGGTTAGCGCGCCGCCGCCGCCGCCGCCAGCCGTCGCCAGCCGTCGCAGCGCGCCGCGGCTCATCTCTTACGGACGCCCTTAGCATTCTCAATCGGTATTTACGGGGAAATTACTTAATGCTAACTCAGTATAAAACCATAAGCGATGTGGTGATGTTTGCTTGAGAAGAGTTAATCACACAAAACAATGGAACTTACTCCAGAAGACGTTAAGAGACCGATCTGACTCGGGGTAGGGAAGCCTCGTTTCGTAGGCTTTGCGTTCAGCATAATGTGGTTGTGTTCGCAAAACCCTTACAGATGCAAGAAGTTGAAGAGTGAAGGGAGAAATGTTTGCTGACGTCGTGTCGTCGCGGCGTAGGCGGAGCGTCGTTCCGGACATCGGTCTACGCGGCGACTTCACGCTGCCGTCGAAGCCTTCAGCATCGCCGCCGTCCCTGCACCATCGGCTATAACTTTTGATCTGCACACCAATCGCTTCCCTATCCGAGTCATGTCGGGGCCTTTTTATATTTTAATAGTTTTTTTTTAAAGTTGGCGCTCTTAACGGCCTTCCGATAACAATATACCTCTTGTCTCCGATAAAAAATTATGTTAAAATGAACACAATTACAAAGGACAATGTAAGATTTGTTAGGGTGCATTTTAGTTTATTATATTGACTAGGTTATTAATAAGAGAACATTTTCTTTCCCGATCCGAATCCTTTCGGCTCCTAGTTCCCTTGTCCAAAGAAAATGCAGATCAATTTGACGGGATTTCTGAATGGCAAGAACGCGCGGCTTTTCATGGGCGAGTTATGGGAGTTGCTGCTTAGTGCCCAGGCCAGTGAGAATGGGATACCAGAGTCATTTACCCAGCAGAAAAAAGAAGAGATTAAGAAAAGAATGGTGAGTGTCGAAAAATTATTTAGAACCATATTATACTGTCTGTTCGGCGAGAGTTGATAAAAAAGCAGGGTTCCTAAATTCATTACAAATTGAGGACAAGATAATTAATTACTTTTGCTGATAGCGCGCTTGGCAACAGCTGCGAGCATGGTACCATAGAAATGTGTTTGCGGCGATAAGCGACGTCCTGCGGCCTATGGTTGCTAGGCCTTAAAATCAAAAAGCCGGACAGATCAGTCAGTTTAGCCGGACATTTGGGTAAATAGGCCATACACCCATAATTTTTTTGTGTTAACACTACAGTGCACGCGCCCCTTTTTTTTACATGGATGCTCGCATGCTCTACCCTGGTAGAAAACAATATTGTAAATATTTAAAAAGCGAGTGGTTTTAAAATGATTAATCTGCATAATATTGGTTCTTTATTTATAATTACACACAGTTATTGCAAAAAATCTGAGTTTTAATTGAATATACTTAACTTAGGAACAATTTAAGAGATCAACAAAATAATCAATATTTTTCGCATGTTTGAGATCAGCTCATAAAAAAAAAAACTTCTAATAATAGGTGACTGTCTTATTGGTCACCATCCTCGCATTCGATACAGACCACAACTTGGTGATCAGGACAAATCCACCTGACACATCGTTTACACCACTTTTTCGTGGACCGATTTCGGGCTCGAGAACACAGGCAACGGCCCTTCTGGCTGAGCCCCGGCGTAAACCTCGAAGTTGTACACATAAGGGTACTTTGTGTCAACCACCATGTATATTTTTATACCGAATTTGTCTGGTTTGTTTGGGATATACATGATAAATCCACATCGTCCCCTAAATCCCACTAGTTGTTCATCCAATGTAAGATAATCGCTGGGGGTAAAATTATCGAGGCAGTTCTTTACCATCTTTTGTGTAATTGCTCGAATGGGTGCCAATTTATCAAGGCAACGTCGTTCTTCTCTGTCATTTACATCATCAAATCGAAGGGCACGTAAAAGAAACCTGAATCGGTTTATAGACATAGTGCAGTATACGAGCTGCAGCCCTGTACCTTTGGAATTGTCCCAGAAGTCATTGAGATTACGACGACCTGAATGCGAGACTCCTATGCCTAGTAACAATCCAATTAGCGCTTTCATTTCAACCAAATCAGTTCTCTTTGCATCTCTCTCTCTCTTGTAACGGTTCTGTATTTTATCGATGTAAATATTCGTGCAAGTAACAAGGATATCGAAAATACTCGCATCAAAAAATAGATCGAAACAAGATAATGGCGTTTCAGCGTTTCTTGCAGCACCCTTTGGACCTGGAGATCTAAACCGGATGTTTTGAGATCTTACCCGTGTTGCAGCAGTACATGTTTTACTCCACCGTGTTCCATTTCTAGATACATAAACATCGTCTCGTGTATTGTTCTGAGCGAGTTCAGAAAGAGGCATGCCATCTTCAGACGATGACGCATGGTTTTCGTTAACGGATTCCTGTGCCAGGTCTTCCTGTTCCATTGGTTGTACTCCTTCTTCCCCATCATCAGATTCACTTTGAATCACTTCTTCATCATCTTGTTCTTCATGCAACCACCGGATCAAGCGAGATTCTAAGTGTGGATCCATTTATTTCGCTGAAACAAAGTAATAATAATTATTAAATACACACTAACATGCTGAACTGCAAACAGTATAGTTATTGTTCCATTGTCAAAAAATAAACCTTCAAATTTAATACATTGTAAAGTAGAAAAGTCACAAAATAATAAATTTACTTACATTCAGTTTTATTACGTCAATACTCGCACGTACTACAATGGTAGAAGCTGAACTTTGACACCTAATTACGGAAACATGCGCTTACGCTGCAGGTGTGCGCCTTACTAATCCTTTTCGTGATTTTGTCGACGAGGCTTAACAAGGAGCGTGGGGGCTCTGGAGTAAAAATGAATGAATGGCGCCAAAATGAGTGAGTGTGTTCTACTGTAGTAGAGCGCGCGTGCACTCTAGTGTTAATATAATACGACAATTTTTTTTTTTAAATTAAAAGAAGGCTTTTTTTATCATTTACCATAAAATCTTCTAAATTCAAATGAAACAACGATAAAATCGAATGAATCAGTCTTTTTTATTATTAATCATTCAATATTCATTACAATATTAATTTCAATAATTGCATATAATAATTGCAATAGTAGTTTGCAGTAAAAAAGTCGAATTAAAATCTTCTTAGATTCTTATGAAATAACAATAAAATTTGCTTGTGCTACCGATACAAGATGAGGTGGGAGGAGCGGAACACTTGACAAAATTAAAAAAATTTAACAAAAGCCGGACAGGCCGGACACTGTCTAATTGTCCGCACACACAAACAAAAAGCCAGACTGTGTCTGGCTTTATCTGGATGCCTGGCACCGCTACCTGCGATAAAAAAATATAATGTTGGACTAACAAATTAAAGCACATTTAAAAATTCAGATTACTTTCATTTGTATCTTAATTTTTTTTCTTTTTTGAAATATATTATTCTTATTAAGGCGCAGGTTGAGCAAAATGTCGCGCTAGTCGTTATTTGTGCGGTTTTTAGAAGCTATCTACTTTTTATTTAAAAGATATATAAACTAATAAAAAACACATTATATTTCTACATAATCTTGATTCCATAAGAGTCATATACAATTTTTTTTAAAGGTATAAATATTAAAATAATCTCCTTACAACGAAACCACATAAATGTGATATAATTATTGATAACATGCATCTCCTCGTAAAGTAAGTATTATTTTATTTTGCGATTTAAACCAATGTATAGGCAATTTATTAATGAACATTTCTATCATAATTTTTTTTCAAAAGACCAAAATTTGATTTTATTAAGAAATTATTTTAAAAACTGGGCGTATTCACTGCCCACGGGCTTGCTGAAGTCAGTGAGCGCGAAGCTCTTGAAGGTGAAACCCGTGTCGTTTGTCACGACGTCAGCCAGCGCACATGCTCGCTAACGTCATCTTATCAATCGATAATGTTATTATTACTTATTAGGTTATTTATAGGTAGTATTATTTGTTTGTTTTGGGTATAATTTTTCGTATACGCGATGAAGCTTTTTGCGTGTGTTTTCTTTGAAGTAAATGCAAATAAAAAAATGAAGCAACATTAGCATGTAAGGTTCGAATCCATAATTAACATTTCGACAAATATTATAATTTACACTAAAAGGCTAATTCAATATTATCAGTGTAGTATACAGTTAAAAATAATCCTAGTACCCAAACACAATATCTTATTAGGTATAGTACTGCCTCGTTGGTCTAGTGGTTGTAGTAGTGCGACTGCTGATCATGAGGTCCCGGGTTCGAATCCCGGGTCGGGCCAAAAAGTCAGTTTATGAGTTTTTCATTTATGTTCTAAGTTATAATTAATATTACATACTAAGTTGTAGTTTTTTGCTAAAATATAGTATATTATTTATGGCTTGTTTTTTTCTTCTTTTTCATAAAATAATTGAGTACATAAGGTGTTGTTAATATATGCCGAATGTCAGAGAAAAAAGCTAGTACATCTTTTGCTAAACTTTAAAATCTAAAACCAATTTTAAAACAGACGAATTGATCATAACTCCCTTAGCTATAAAATAAGTTATGATCGGCTGACATTATGCACTCCATACATTTCTTATATCTAATTACAGCCCCATTAAATTCCACTAAAAGAAAATAAATAACTAGTAAATTCAAACAAAAATAACTGCATTACTATAACTATAGTCATATTCATACAAATCAAAAAGCCTATATATGAGATAATGTAAAGTAAGCATAATTTTACCGGCATCATAACTTGTCAAATAATTAGGAAAATGATCGTTTTTCGTTGCGTACGTGTTTTGACTTTTAATTTAACACTGTTAGGTTTAAAACTGCGAGGTAATATTTGAATAAATATACTTTCCTCTAGATACAAAGGATTTTTTAGATGAGACAATATTTGGACTACTAGAAATCTTATTTATGGAGTAAAAAGGCGAAAAGACTGGAATTAGGGGCATGACTGGTATTAGTGGCATTCACCCTAATTCGGTAAAAATTATCTAAGTAGGTATTAATATACCATTAATATACCTACTTATTACTATAAACTAAAAATTTTTAAAACTAAATTTAACTAAAAAAAACTAAACTGACCATTTATTTTTTAACTCAAAACAGGACATGGGTATATTTATACTCTAAAAAACTATAACTTTATACAATTAGTGTTCACTATAAAATTATATTCGGTATAGACGGTAATTATTAAATGCAACATATTTTTTTTTAATTATTAATTACATTTGTCAGTGGATTATATTTGCTTTAATAAAGTTGGTGATGATTTTAAATAAGAATAAAATTCTGGTCAAGTTTTTTTTATTGTTATCTTTGTTAACAACATCGCCTTTAGAACTGGAATCGTTTTAAGTGTTTTTTTCAGACGTACACAATTTATTCAAAATAGAAAAATACTATTTTTACTGGAGCATTTGTACCAGGTCGACATAAAATATATTCGATTAAAAAAATTATGTTGAAGATTGTTGACTTTGAATACTTCCATCCAACGAGTTACGGGACAATTTTGTGTCCCGGAGCTTTGTTTGGGGACAATGAGACAGGTGACCGAGAAAAGGGACAGTCCCGTTCAAATCGGGACGTATGGTCACTTTAGCTATAACCCGGCGATGGCTCCGTGGCGCAGTGGCTTAGCAATCATTTGTTGCGCTGGGGGCCGCGGGTTTGAATTCCGCACGGAACAAGTATTTGTATGGCCTACAAATAATTGTTCCGGGTCTGGATGTTTGTCCTTGTGCAATTTATGTTTGTAAACTGCCTCCACGACACAGGAGAAAATCCTAGTGTTCTGGTAACGTTTTTTTAAAATTGAAATTAAAAGATTGAACGCTTATACTTCTTGTTGATTTTTGTATTACCTTTATTAAATTTACCCTTATGTATAAATAAATATAATTACGTATGTAGAAATAAAATTGATTTTCATCCTCATCAACATTCTATTTATTTATTTATTCTTTTTTGCACCAAATATTTGTACAAAAGTCGAGCTATCTATCTATTTACCTATAGTGAGTAGGTATCTTTTAAACTCACAATTTTCAATGCTTCATTTTTTATATATAATTAATTATAAAATTTCGCATGGAGTAGCCCCTTAATGCGAATTAAGACGATTTGGTTAAATTCGCCTATGTCTGAGGGTGATAATACGAGAGGGAAAATTTAACAAAACAAAGGTGTTAGAACTATCAACCGTGAAAAAAATTTATAGTTTTATATTGTTATCAATAAAATTACATAAAATCTTTTAGATGTAAGAAGGAAAGAGATCATTTTTTTTATAGGATCGGGTGACAAACGATCACACAGTCCACCTCATGGTAAGTGGTTACTGTGACCCATAGACATCTACATCTATCCTCAATAAAGACTCAAAATGCAGATGCGTTGTCACCCGTGAGGACTAAGATGGAATGCCTCTTGTCCAGTGAAAAGGGTCTCCGGTTCTCTACACTCACCATACAAAACACAGCAGCGTTAAGCTGCTATTTTACGCTACTACATAGTGGATAATATGGTTTTTGGTACTTTTGTCTAATCCGCACAACCAATTAAAGTAAATATTTTTTGTGTATACGTATTAGTCTTTTAAGCAGAAATAATCGTTAGTAATATAAAATATAACATAAAAATTATTGTAAAATAAAAATATAGTGTATTGTTGAAGGAGGCAATTTTCAATTTCGAAGATGCCATAACTGTTAATTTTATTAGTGTAACAAGCCACTATCCATTATGGCTCATGCTAATTGGTTGAAAATGTAAAATCACAGGCATCATTTACACCAATTTCATCCTTTTACATTGTTAGTATTTTTTTAAAGGATAAGGGTGACAAGCGAGCGCACAGTCCACCTGATGCTGTGGCACATAGACATCTATATCTATCTTCGTTTGGGAATCAAAATGCAGATGCGTTGTCAACCGTGAGGACTAAGATGGAATGCATCTTTTGCAGTATTTAGTATTAAGAGTTTTTCAAAAAAAGTTCACACATACACTCTGTAATTCTGCACTGATGGTATCTTGCTATTTACATTGCATTACAACAACCTATAAAAGTTCACAACTGAACATAGGACTTGTCCACAGATTGCCTCATAAGAACTTTGTCATAGTTGCCACTCTTGGCAAGTGGAATGGCAACCACAGCGTTTTATTATTTTGACTTGTTACATGTAAGATGCTGCTACCCACCTCCTATTTCAGTTTCAGTTTCTTTTAGTCGTTTCTTAATACTACACTTATGTGGTAGTGGATATTCCTACATTGGCCACCACACAGTGGACTGTGGATACATTTAATTAATGATTTCTAATATTTACGCAAACATTATTCATTGAATAACTTATTTTTAACTTCCAGTCATGGTTATGAGAGACTGAGGTATTGAACATTGGGCTGCCAAATACCTCAGGCCCCTCGGTAAACTTTTTATGAGACACCCGTATGTAAAAATAGTTTTATTCAATATGCCATTTAATAGGAGGAGCAAAAAGACAAGGAGAAGGATCGCCGTCGGTCGCGGTCCCGCTCCCGCAGCCGCCGCCGTTCCCGCGAACGTCGCCGCTCGCGCTCCAGGACACGTGATCATTCCGGTGATAGGAAGTAAGTGACAGTTTGTAAATTACATTATTTTATCAACATATTGCATCTGGATATGCACCCAGCCAGCCAACCAACCAACCAACCAACCAACCAACCAACCAACCAACCAACCAACCAACCAACCTTTCTTGATCTAATGTGGGATGCAGGCCTTTGTAAGCAAGAACTAAAGATAAAGGTCCCGCTGGGTTTCTTGCTGTTTTTCCTAGGAAGAAAGAAAAAATGATTTTCAATAAGTATTATGTAATAATTTATATTGAATAAAAATCATTCTGTTCTATTCTATACTATGGCTAAAAATAATGAAATCGTATGTCAGATGTAAAATATTTAGAACAGAAAAACTGTCATCAAAAATGTGATACATCTCATACTGCAATCATCATTTGTCTGCCAAACATGTGCAATTATGGCTATGTCCATCACTTGATATTGCCTTAATAGGCACTGTTTTTATGGTTTGATTACTATGCATATGAATATTTTTTTTAAATATTTAGTAATATTTTACCAAATTTGAAATATTACATTTAAAATTATCTAAAAATAAATATACAACGATATTTTTGTTGCATGATTCTGCTTAGATGAGCAGCGCAGTACTACTTACCGGAGTGGTTCATGTCCCCAGCAGTGGACTGTTTTACAAATCAATGCTTCATATGTGCCTTTTAAAACGTTTACAGAGTGGCTGAATGTTATTATTCTATTAGTCTTCAAAGATGATGTTACATAATGTCATCGATTTTGGCTCTACATCAAGGATAGATAGATGTGAATATCTATTAGTAAAAATGAGTGATTAATGGCCAAATCCTCAAAAGATACTCAATTTTAAGATGTCACAGTCACTTTGACTTTAAGTGATAGAAACAGTATGAGACTTAACAGAATCTTAAAATTTAGTAGTGTTTGAGTATTTGAGCATTAATTATTTAGTTGGGCAGCAGTTGGTTTGAATATTTACGCAGATGTAACTTCAATATCCATGCATTTGTTATTATCTTCTGTTTTTAAAATCTTCAATAGTCAGTTACATTCCCCTACCCGATTTTCGTTCACGGTGACAAATTCCGAACAATGAAGTGAAAAATAAATCGGAAGTTACTGTTTTTACACAAATATACCAACATTTGCACAACATTTGAACAATGAAGATTAAGTGTTTGAACAGCTTGTGTTAATAGGTTACACTGCTGCCATTCATTTTTTGTGTGTTAATATGCAATATATGTAAACTTATGTTGAGGCCAGTATTCCGAAACAATTGAGTATGGCCTAGACTCGCTTGGGAACTATCAACACATATCTAGACAACTTTAATGCTTCCAATTGTAAGTATAAAATATAAATAAGTAATAAATTCAAAATCCGTGTTGTGACCTGACCCATAGTCTGTATATACTGCCAGACATTGGCCTCTGCCATTATATTGGTGGATGTTTGGATATTTGGTTTTTGAATGATTATTCTACCGTCAGTTGTAGAACGAAGTATTGTATATGTATCACCCTTATATCTTAATCTTAAGTTTTATTTCTTCGTGAAGAAATATGATATACGATTTTCTTGGGTCGATTTATTTTTTAAAGGCAATCTTCACAATAAAACAAAAATATATGAAAGAGCACTTTACTATAGGCTTTTTTTACACAGACATCGCAATGGGGGAAGTCCGCGTCGATCCAGACGACGCAGCCGAGAGAAGAGCCAGCCCAAGACTAATGCTATTCCTAATGTTGACGATATTAAGCTTCCAGAACCTAAAGGTATTTGAAATACTTTTTATTACACACACACAAACACACAAACACACACACACACACACACACACACACACACACACACACACACACACACACACACACACACACACACACACACACACACACACACACCTATCACCCAGAGGGGTAGGCAAAGACTACGGACTTCCATTTGGCGTAATCCTGACACACCTCTCTCGCCTCCTTTACATCCATATATCTACGCATACACGCTCGTAGGTTAAGGGTACTCCTAATCTGGCCCATTTTTAATTTATCGCCGATTTGGTCGATAAATCTTCGTCTAGAGCGTCCCTTCCTGACCCTACCGTTCACTTTTGCAACATAAATTTGCTTTGTCTTTCTTTCCTCGTTCATTCTTTCTACATGACCAAACCACCGAAGCATTCCTTTCTTAATCCTTGTCACATATTATTACGTATGCACTATTATAAACAAATTTTCATTTTGTTTGGTACAGAAAATGGCAAATCACCGGAGAAGCAAGAAGAAAAGGAAAAACCAGAAGAAGAGAACCATGATTCTACAACAGAAGTGGTAAAGGAGAATAATGCAGAGGAGACATCAAAAGAGGAGAAGATAGAAGAAGATGGTCACAAATCTAGATCTGTATCTCCAGCTAAGTAAGTAATGTAAAATATAAGGCACCTTTCTTTGTTCCTTATATCATTAATTTTCGTAATGTTATAATATTCCCCATGATTTTTAAATAAGATAGAGGTGAAATTGTTATTAGGGCGACTGGTGGTGGTGAGAAGGAAGCTGAGGAGAAACCTCCGGAAAAAACTCGACAATCATCAAGTGAACGTCGTTCATCGTCTGCTTCATCTCGTAAGTTTTTATTTAGTGGGGGCTTGTAGTTCAAGTGCAAAATAGCAAATGTGTTATTTAGTTTTGATGATTTTCGTTACAGAGTAAAACTAATTTAACCTTAGCATATTAGTCATAGGTAGCTTTATATTTCAATGGCAATAAGTAATATACCATCTTGAAAGTCACAAAATCCTATGTTGCGCATTTTGATATTTCTATTTCGGCATTAATTATTTTCAATCTAAATTGGATCAGAATATTACAAATGCATGATTGTGGACATTTTTGTACTTTGCAAATGTTATCACAATTTCTTAAACTTATTTTTTGAAAAAGTTTCAAAAATAACATTTAATTTTTTTGTTGTATAACCAACTAGCGGTCAACACTGGGGAACACTGGGTACCGACCACTAGTAAGTTTTAAATTCATAAAAATGACTTAATAATATTGATGTATGTTTTTGTAAGATCTCGAACCTTTTGTTTTCTATATGATTTTGTTTCTGTCCTTTTTGTAAGACGTCGAAACGTTGTTAACAACACAAGAGTACTTCCACTTTAAAAGAATTAAAATTTTAAATTTTTCTGTAAACTTTTCTACATGAATAGAGAACCGGAGACCCTTTTTACTGGCAAAGAGGCATTCCATCTTAGTCCTCACGGGTGACAACGCATCTGCATCTTGAGTCTTTATTGAGGATAGATGTAGATGTCTATGGGTCACAATAACCACTTACCATCAGGTGGACTGTGTGCTCGTTTGTCACCCGATCCTATAAAAAAAAAAAAGAAAAAAAAAAAAAAATGAAAATTTTTCTTTTTGAAAATAGTGTATATATTTTATTGAGTATGACTGTGAGTACGAGCAGATCTTTCAAAAAACTGCATGTCAGCTCTGATACTTTTTTTTGAAAGGCAATGTTCAGTAGTGGACAAAATACATAATAGTAATTTTTAGTTTTAGTGCAATATTACTAGTTAAAAATTAAGATATACTTGTAAGTAAAAGGAAAATAGAATTAAAGTATATACAGTCTGTATGGATAAAGAATGGGATTAGAAATGGAGCTCATCGAGCCCGGTCCATCAATATGCACAGTATCAATAGTGCAAAACCCGCTAATAATAGTATAACGTTAAATTATTCAGGAAATTGAAAATTATCTATGATTGGAAAAATACTTGAAAAAAATTGTATTTGTAAAAAAATTATTTTTTTTGTAAATTGTAGGGACATTAATTTTAAAATAACATTTATAACTAGCGACCCGCTCTGGATTCGCCTGGGTGGGATCTATTATGTGGTGTTATTTAGACTTAACATAATCATTAAAGACCATTTATTTCATCTTATCAATATTTTTTTACTTATTTTATTTTATTCTATATTCAATTTATTACAATCGGTTCAGCCATTCCGAAGATTAGCTCGGACAGACAGACAGACAAACGAAAATTTTAAAAATGGTTACTAATGTCTCACTGGCATGTAAATATTTTATACCAAAAAAAAAGTTTACAAACAAAAATTAAAAATTAAAAATTTTGCTTAACCGACTTCAATATATATTATTAAGGATAACTCAAAAATTATTGGTCAGACCTTGATCATTATGTGGAACCACACGAGAAGCACCAGCTTTCAAATAAAAAAAGAATCGTCGAAATCGGTTCACGTAAAACAAAGTTGTGAGGTAACACACATAAAAAAAAAACAGTTGAATTGAATACCACCTCCTTTTTGAAGTCGGTAGAAAAAATCAACAATAATTATGAAGAAAAAGCTCAGAACGCGTCTAGCTCACAAATTATCGAAACCAGACTGAATTTTTTCTTTGTAGTTTATTGCATTTTATTATTATTGATGCCAATGACACGTTGGATGTATTTTTTTTGTAGTCTACCGGCGGGTGTGACTATACATAAATAGATACAATAGTGTGCGAGCGAGAAGTGAATAGATGAGGCGCCATTTATAAGCCCCTTCTTTAACTGCACGGGTTAAATGTCTGTCTAATATGAAATGTTTAAAAATAGATCTTTACATAATATATCTCGAGTTAAATTGTATTGTTTTTATTTTATTTTTTCTTTACGTACAATTTTCATTAAACCAATAAGTTCATATAAAACTTACGTTAATTTTATGACTCGATGTCTTGAGTTTATAATTGACACATATGCGCGCATGATAAGTGTAGGATTACGTTTTCCGACAACTTTAATGACCGTCATGACACACCCCCATTTTCTGATTATTATTTTATTTAATTACAATTTAAAATAGTTAAATATTTTATTTTAACTTCAATGTGTTGCTTGTCTTATACATCATCACTTGAAGTAAATGTGCAAGTGCCAAGCGAGTGTTAACTTGACGGTCCTGTACTTATCGTGCGCGCGTAGTTAATCTATTTGATTGTCATATTCCTTATTCTGTTTTAGACGGCAGTGCAAAGAAAAGATCCTCGCATAAGAAACGTCAATATCGCTCCAACCGTGATTCCTCCGGTAGTGCCAGTCCAAGACGCAGTTCGCGCAGAGAAAGGTGAGTGGAAATGAAATGATAAAACATTGGTAATAATGTTGTTATTTTCAATACTATTTTGTTTTTTCTCTCCTAAAGCAATCTGTTCATTTGATTTGTCCAATACAGTACTCAGCTACTGTCATTAATCAAAGGTTGTAGGATAATAGTGTGAAGTCAATTATTATGATTTTAATTTTCTAGGTGTAGTCTTAGGAAGTTATTTAAACATGTTATTGGAAATTAAAAGTGCTTGTTTTAATAATAAGAACTTATTTTATAATGCTATTTATCTGGCAAACCTAAGGAAAACCAACAAACCAAACCTTGTAGTATTTTTTGTTAATTTATATTATTTTTATTTTCCGAATATAGGTAATTAATTAATATAATAATAATATTTTTGAAAATTATAATATAATAATATTTGATGTACCTACTTATATGTATAAATTATTCTATACATACATAAAATGTTATTAAATTATTTGCACGCTTATCAAGACTTGAAAAACCATTTTTAAATTTTGTTTCTGTCTGTTAAAATTTTACATTTCAATGGATTTTCACGTTTCCGTTACCGTTACAGTCTGTTAAAGTCAACTGCTGAACATAGGCCTCCCCCATAGATTGCCTCATATTTGCCATAGTTGCCACGCCTGGCAAGCGGGTTTTTTATTTTTAGTCTGATTTGTTTCCCTCTGTCGCCTCTTAAGCCTTGTACGGACTAAGCGTTCCAATGTACGCGTAGTCGGTTACGCGTACATAGGAACGCGTATACATTAATGTAAATTTAACCTTAAATGCATTGTCTAAAGTTGTATTCACAAAGCTACGTACAAATTAAAAGCGCACCCATATGTTCGAGTGGGCGCTCATTCGGTAAGGACATTTTTTGTCACTGATTGTGTATCTAGTTTTTATTAGTGATCGATGTATACATAGTATTAAATCTCGTACGATGGTACGGAACCTTTCATCTGCGGGTTCGACTCGCACTTATCCGATTTATTTTCATAAACTATAATCAAACAAACTTTTTTGGTTTGCAATTTTATACAGAAAAGAACTTATAGTGTTAAGTTTTGATGGAAAATCGATTTTTTTACTAAAATGGGGTAAATGAGACTTATTATAAAAATATACATTGATAGTGATTTGTGTTTTTTGATAATGACTCTTAGTAGTTTTGGAACACTGATCAAAAATGTTTAAAAAATGCATTATTAGATGGCTCGGAAGTGCAGCAGCTAAGTTTATGGCTGCGGAGCTGAGTTTTGCGGGTTCTATTGGTGTATGGACAAGTATTTGTATTGTCAATGCTTCGGTTCTGGGAGCATGTTACATTTATGTATGTGATACGACTTCCAAGATATATGTGAAATTCTTAGAGTGGGGGTAACATTCTTACAAAATAATAATAGTAATTATATTGTTAAGGTCATGGTTTTGATGATGCCTCCTTTTTTCCTAAATGTCAACCTCACCTGCATGAACTGCTTGTACTATGCTAAATGATAGACTCGGCTCTTGTGACCGACTGTTGGTTTAAAATCTATCCAAAAATGCTGAATACAATCATAACAGACTGGTTGATGGTGCTGGTGACCGGTGAACCAGACCTATAATTTGTGAAACACAAATGTTAGGTCTGTATAATAATGTCTGTATTAATGTTGCCTGTAATATTTTTATAAATATCCTTCACAAGTTTTTTGCCAAGCACAAGTGATAAACTTTTATATTAATGTGAAGTATGTAAGTAAGTAAGTAAGTAAGTATCTTTTATTTTATTTGAAGTTATGCCTTTACATCGTTGTAGGAGCAAGTCTCGACGTCGCAGCCGTCGTAGATCCCCAGATCGTCGTGAAAGGGAACGGGAACGCGAACGCGAAAGGGAACGCGAGAGGGAACGTCGCCGACGTGAAAGAGACAGACGAGAAAGGTACCACTTAAATCAATTTGTGAAATACATTGTTTTTTAAATGGAACAAAACTTCTTTATAGACATATAATGATTTCTTGCTTTGATTTATATAGAGGTTAATTTTTATTCGATTTTGCTTAGAATACATTCTTTTTAATGTTTCTTTGAATGACATTTTTATAGTGATTACTTATTATGATAATTGCGTTTGTACACCATTAGTTTATTTTCCTGTTTTATGAAATGATAGAAGCAATAACAAAGTTTTATGCGTAGTAAATGTTATTTTGATAAAAATAACATTTACTACGTACGTAATAACGCACTTAAAGTTTACAATGGTATTGCACCAAGAGATACCGATCGCAAGTATTTACTGTAGACACTTTATTTCGCTGTCAATATGACCTATGGCGCTCTTTAATAAGTTTGTTTATTTATGAAAGGTCCCGAGAGCGTCGTCGATCGCTTGAAAGACGCAGACGTTCGCGTTCACGCTCTCGACGACGTTCAAGAGACAGGTAATATTTATTTTTAGTATTTGTGAGCAGTTCTTTTTGGCTTTTTACCTGCTTTTTGCCTCTGACCTTAAAAATACGGATAAATCTCGAAGTCTGTAAATGGTCGCCCACTATGTATACGCGTGCGTGAGGGATGCTAGATTTCAAGTACTATTTCAGTAGTAATTAATAATTTTATACGCCGTTAAATCTGAATAACCACATGACTTTGATAAGTGCTACTACAATTTTTTAAGCTGTTAGTCCATTTTCGCAGAGTCGAGATTTCGAAGTGGATCCTATAATGGAAGTTTTTCAGTTTCAAGAGTAAAAAAGTGCACATGTTTGTTTATTTTCGCGGCCTAATAATAAGAACAATCGGAACTTGAAAACAATAATTGTGACGTTTGTGACATACTTTAAATAATAAATTATTGTTAAAGGTGCTACGAATTAACTAGCTAAATCCTCCTAAAAATAAAATAAATATGATGTGTCTAACCTAATTTGAAAAGCACTTACCCCGCCCTACCCCGATTGCGTGCACTATCCCCATCACTAATCCCAAACCCACTAATCTCAACACCACCACTCGCAACACCACTACACTAGGAAAGACAATTTGTGCCGGCGAGGCTCGTCCCCATTTTGCTCGCATGCTGTGAAATATATTGCTTTAATAATTTTCACAGTATGCTTTTTTAATAAAATTATGGCTTAATACCTGCCTATTTATATAAATAATAAGTACAGATTTTGCCACATTTTAAAACAAAATCTCTTGAAAACTATCTGACAAACCATTGTCTATTTTTATTTGATTTTTAACTACAGTAAATGTAACGAAATTATAAAAAATAATAATTTAAGAATGGTTTTTGATTCCTTGAGAGTTTTTTAAATTTAGTAATGTCGTGTTTGTGGGATTTTATCACACAAGACTGCGTTTTTATAGTAACAATAACGTGCCTTGACCTGACGCGCGCTGTGTACTGTAGTCAATTGTCAGACCTCAGATGTATTTGTCCGCGTGTAGTTTGTTTGCGTATGAACAAGGAAACTAGGAACTAGAACGCTTTACATACACGTTTTCAGTATAACATTGCGTCCGTTTTTTTAAGGTCCGTGCTTTTTGCTAAATCTCTCAATGTCATCATCATATTCAGTTATAATATAAAATATTTTCGAGACGCTGATTGTGTACCCATAGCTATATCACGTAAGTAGAAGTTAGAAGTCCCTACAAAGTGTAAAATATATTTGAAAGTTTGGCTGGTTTTAGTCTGACAAGTAAAATGGGTTCACAATGGGATGCATATAATTGGGTAGTTGATACCATTATTAATTAATTACTACATCATATAATATGAATTTGATACTTTTATACATACCCATTACTTTGTTTCATTTGTAAGCTTAATTAGATTTTCATTTCATTATTTAAAAATAAATAACTTTAATTAATCTTTCGATTTGACAGCTCGTAAAAAGTTGATGAGGGTCGACTACCCTATTCAGTCATATTTTGTAATTGCATAAGTGCACTCATACATATTATATCATTTCGCATAATGTTTATACTGTAAATAATGAATGAGATATGTATCCCATAACGTCTATTATTATTATGATCGATTTATTTGTATATAAGTTTGCGGCGTATAGGTCATGGAACTAACAGCCGCACCTTAAACTACTGTAACAGTGAAGCTATGGTTCAGCGTGTGAATCTCTCACGGCAGGCAGTCCTGTATGGAGCTATGCCAATCTTGTGAGATTCGACGCCTTCAAAACACAAGCGTGTCTTTTTACCGCAAAAAGGAGCTCATTCACCCTGGCTCTTACTTTCTGGGAATTTATCTTTGGAGCACACCGAACCGCTTTCAGTTGTTAGGTATTATCACAATCCGAATTTCCGATCTCAACTTTATTAACTAGTTAATTAGGTGGTAAGAAAACCACGCGATCGTGTATGAAGTACTGCTGTCAAATATGGCCTGGTGCTGCAAAATGCCAACTCAGTAGAGAGGCGTGCTAAGAGGTTTACTCGTAACTTTAATTTAGTTGAAACCAATCTTGTCAGCCTCAAGAAGCCTGTTAGCTGTAAAGTAGCCTGTCCTCTCGGTAATCTACAGGATACATTTTAGAGTGTGTGCAAGAAATTCACGCCATAATTTCTCCCTTTCCTGTCGACAATTAGAACCTTTGTTGTCGATAATCTACGTATTTGGATCCAAACGTTTGCTTCGTATTTAGTAATATGTATAAAGAATTGTAATAAGTTGCCGACGTTTGTCTTTCTGTTCGATTTCAATCTGGGTGTTTTTAAGGCAAGAATGAATAGGCTTGAATACGCTAAGACAGTGCGATTTACCACCTAGGCCTTCATAACCACTTACCATCAGGTGGGATTGCACTGCCAAAAAAAATGTCCGTGTGTTGTGTTGTCTAATGATGGAATTGGTATAGGATAATTCCTGTGTATAGTCTCCAAAATGTGTTCTATAAAATATCAAGGGGCCATCTTACGCCTGTGCTCGAGGCTAAGCATATGATTTCACAAAAAATCATCCCGCCTAAAGTTTGACGGGATTTCGACTCCAAATAACTGAAAGCGATTTATAAGATTTTTAAGATATATTCTACCAAATATGCGAGCCAAGGCAAATGATCGTCTATAAGCGACTTTGCTCTAGTTGGATTATAATTTAGATTCTATGTGTGAGTCACATGCTCTATTGTGCATGGCTCCCCAATAATCATATTGTACGTGATCACAACTGGCAAGAGCAATGTTATGATTATTACATAACATAACATAACATAAACACTCACGCCTGTCACCCAGAGGTATAGGCAGAGATTATGGACTTCCATTTGGCACGATCCTGACACTGATTATTACAATTTTTACTTAGATTCTATGAAAATGTAAAAAGGTCGTCATGATTCGATTTCGCGCTAGCTTGCATAAACTATGACATGGAGAAGTCACCTCAGTGCTTCTCTTTCTACTCCCCCCCTGTAAAGCGCCCGAAACGTTGGAAATTAGAAAAGTTAAACCGCGATAAATTCTGTAAAATTAGCTTTATGCAATATGCAGTATTTGCGTAAATATAATAAATCATTATGTTATCAATTCTCATTAAAGATATCGTTAATTAAGGTTACTTTCATTTAAATACTATTATTTTTTTAAATAAATATAATTGCACCTTTCACATACAGTGTAATTCCCATCATCTTTCAATTATTTTCTCATCATCCATATCGCACATATCTTTTTTAAATCTTGCTTTTATCTATAATCTATTCATTTCTCATTAGTCACAAATTGTATTCCTATATAGGTATATTTTTTAAACCATTGATTAAATTAAACAATGACTGCATTAGATCGCGAGACCGGCGCCGCTCCCGTTCCCGCAGACGTTCGCGTTCGCCCCGACGTTCTGGTAGACGCTCGCGTGATCGACGCTCCAGGGACCGACGTTCGAGAGACCGGCGTTCTAGAGATAGATCCAGGTAAAGTCCGTTTCGTAATGAAATCTATATATGTAATTAACTGAACATGGTGAACGACACACTCTTAAATAAAAATGATACTTTTAATAAAAGCTAAAAGCCGTAAACTCAAAATAACAAAATAATTTAAACATGTAGCCAAGTGGGTGCACATACTAAGGCTTGAACTAGAGTATGTTTCAAGAAAGAAATACTGTGGAAAATATGCGATCTATAAAATTAAAATGTAAAGGCATAGAATTTGGAAGCAAATGTCAAATTTCGCGAAGACGCTGCGGATAGACATCTTTCGAGACTAAGACTTTTTTAAACTGGAGAATAATCCACGGATATACAACCTTACTTGATGGCTTTTATTTTTTTACTAAAAGTTTTACAAATTATCAAGGCATATATTATATCAATTAGAATGTCGTCTTAACATTAAAAACTTCATCTTCTATTTGTGTTATATCATACCGTCCCTGAAGTATAACCTAATTAATTAAAAAAATCATTAAATCGGTTACCAATTAACGAAGATATCGCGTTACATACATAAAAAAACAAACACGATCACACAGGAACCTACAATCTAATTGAGAACATTCTCCTTTTTTGATGTTGGCTAAAAATAAATATTTTTTTCTTGTGACATTACGGCAATATATTATTGATCCAGTTGTATTTATAATAATTAATAATTTAAAATAATTTATATTTACAATGTAGAATGATTTAATAGTTAAGTATTACCCATTGCGAATGTCAAGAATGCCGGCTAAACGAGACATGGAAATTCATTATTTCAGCCGAGAAATAATTCTCTGTTTATTCGAAATATCTGATATATATCACATTTTATGGCTAGTTAAATTTAGTCTTTCAATAAATAAAAAAAAGAAACTTATTTAAATCTTATACTATTTATTTATGCCATTGAAATATCACAACAAAAAATATTTCTGAAAAATATCAGGCAATTCTATTAAATCGTACTCGTAATAAGGCCTCCATCATAAATTTAGTTTTAAAAAAATAGTTATTACCAGTTCATTTTATTTTATCAAAACGAACAGCTAAAAATCCAGGTGCAAAAGCATTAATGTAGTTTATAAAATTTAGTGTAGTCGGTTTACTGCTTTAAAAAGCAGAAAACCGTCTACACTAAATTTTATTACTTTGATTTCTTATTATATTGTTGAAAAGTACATTATACTAATTAATTATATATTTTCAACCAAAATTGTTTTATGCAGGGACAGGAAGTCACGAGACCGTACAAGAGACAGGAGGTCCAAGGATAGAAAATCTCGCGATAGAAGGTCCAGTGATATCATTAAGGAGCGGTTGGAAAAATCTGTGTCCATACCAAGGAAAGGTGTGTAAAATAATGCTTTAAATTTCATATACACTTAAAAAATTGCATGCAATACTGCAATAACCTAATTACATGTATTGAATCTCTTTTTCAGAAAACCTTGAAAAATTACACAAGCCAGTTGAACGGAACTCTATTCCACCAGAGCGCACGAAAGAACATGCTTCGAGTTCTAGTAGGGAATCATCTGTGGCAAACGATAAATCTGCTGCAGTGAATGATAGTCAAGCTAAACCAGCAGCTCAATCGTCCGATGATGATGACAGAGAAGATTTTATACCCATACCCACCTTAAGAGACTATTCTAAGAGTTTATCTCGAACACCTTCGCCTTTCCTAAGAAAACATGAAATTGAAAGCAATAAAAAATCTGATAGATCAGCTGACGACGCATCAGGAAAAGAACAAAATGATGAAGACAAAACACAAGAAGTGAAAAAATTGAAAAGAAAAGCTCATCAATCAGATAGCGAAAGTGAAAGCAGTGAAGAAGTTAATAAAGCTAAAAGTAAGGCAAAACTTAAGCGCAAGGAAAAAGCTACATCAAAGAGAGCTAAGAAGACCAAAAAAGAAAGTTCTTCAAGTGATAGCGATTCAGAAGATTCATCTTCTAGTGACTCAGAAGAAGATAGAAAGAAGAAAAGCAAAAGAAGCGCCAAAAAGAAATTGGCAAAGAAATCTAAAAAGAAGCGAGCTCGGTCTTCAAGCTCAGAATCGAGTTCAGAAGAAGAAGTCAAACACAAGAGTTCAAAAACAAAACAAAAGAACATTCCAGAGGAGTCTGACAGTGAGAAAAAGTCGAAGAAGCGAAGTAAAGATACGAGCATTGAGCACTCTAAAGAGAAAATTGAAAGTAAACCAACAAAGTCAAAGAAACCTGAAAATTCGGAAGATTCTCGCGATGACAGTTCAGATAGTGACACGAAGTCCAGTAAAAAGAAAACTATTAAACATGATTCTAGCAGTTCCGAAAAAGAGATAAGACGCAAGAAAGCTGAATCCACAAAAGAAAAAGCTGTTTCTCCTGATAATGCAAAATCTCGAAAAGGTGAAGAAAAAGCTGCTAAAACAAAGCATTCAGACGAAACTAAGTCTAAATCTCGGGATGATAGTGAAAAGAAAGGTAAAAAGCGTGAAAAAGAAGATTCTTCTTCCGATAGTGATCAGGTGTCGAAGAAGAAAGCTAGAAAAAAGGTTTCGGAGTCTGAATCTGAATCAGATAGTGATGAACCTAAGAAATCGAAGAAATCGAAGAAACACAAGAAACATTCAAAGAAACATAAGAAACACAAAAAACATAAGAAAGCGTCAAAAAAGAAGGATGATTCTTCTGATAGTGAAGAAGCAGAAGAGGATGAAGAAGAAGGGAAGGTAAACAATGAAGATTTAGAGAAGAAGTTACGGGAAAGAGCATTAAAGTCTATGAAAAAACAAACTAGTGCATCTGGTTCCGATTAACTAATCGTTCCGCTCATTTTGTCTCTAAGTTGTCACTTACAAAAGTTTTAATTTTACGAAATGTAACGATTTTAAGAATGAAATAGCATGTATGACTAAAATACGTGTACGTCTTAATTGTTAGTAATAAAGTTGAAAATGTGTAAAATTTCTTTATTTTTATATTATTACTATTGGTCGCCCTGCACTTCGTCTACCACCGGTACGAGTCTGTCACTCGAGAACTTTTTCCCCATCGGTTGTCGGTTCTTCGAGCTATATGGCCAGCCCATTGCCACTTCAGTTTACTAATCCGTTGGGCTATGTCGATCACTCTGGTTCTACTGTGGTTATCTTCATTCCTAAGTTTATCACGCAAAGAAACCCTAAGTATAGCCCTCTCCATAGCTCGCTGAGCGATCTTGAGCGTCTTCATACGGCTAGCAGTGAAGGACCACGTCTCAGATCCATAAGTCATCCATCACTGGCCATACGCACTGGTTGTACAATTTAGTTTTCAGATTTTGAGGTATACCTGACGATATGTGTCTTAATTTCCCGAACGCTACCCAGCCAAGTTGAATCCGTCGATTGACCTCTCGATCGAAGTTGGACTTACTATTCTTGACTATTTGTCCCAGGTAAACATACTCGTCAACAACTTCGAGCTTAGTGCTCCCAACAACTACCGGCATAGGTGTGACATGGACATTAAACATGATCTTTTTTTTGTCCATGTTCATCTTAAGACATATCCGTTGGGAGACTATTGAGGTCATTGAGCATAGTGCTTAGGTCCTCCAGCGATTCTGCCATAAATACTACATCGTCGGCAAATCCAAGGTGAGCGATGTACTCACCTTTGATATTAATACCATATCCTTTACAGTCCAGTAGCTTGAAAACGTCTTCCAATGCAGCGGTGAAACGTTTCGGGGATATAACGTCACCCTGTCTTACACCTCTCTGCAGTTGGATAGGTTTCGTACTCTGATTCTTTACTCGGATAGCCATCGTAGCACTACTGTATAAAAACTTCAGCACTTTGATATGCCGACGGTTAACTTGGCACTGCTGAAGGGATTGTAGCACCGCCCAAATTTTGACGTAATCAAAGGCTTTCTCAGCAAATTGGCAGATTGTACTCTTCTGTCTTCTGTACGATTTGACGAAGGGTGTGTAGGCTGGAAGTCGTTGACGATTCGTAATGACTCGAAAACAGCACGTAGACGTGAGGAGATCGGTCTGTAGTCCTTCAAGAGATCGTTGTCGCCTTTCTTGAAGAACAATACCACTGCACTTTTGGTCCACGCCTCCGGAGTAGTCCCACCATGGAGGACGGAATTAAAGAGCTTCTGTAGGACTTCAAGTACCGGTTTTCCACCTGCTTTCAGAAGTTCCGCTGTAATTCCATCCTCATACAGGGCCTTGCCGTTTTAAGGTGCTGGAGAGCCATTCTAATCTCGGTCAGACTGACGTCCGGGATATCTTCGGAATAGTGTCGGATAAGACTTGCTCTTGGATCGTTATCGCACACTTGCGTGGGGGTCTAAAATGACGTCTATGTACTGCTGTAGCTGCTCATAGAACCTCTCAATCTCACTCAAAATGCGAGGTGTTCCGGAAACGATGTTGCCACACTCGGTCTTCAGCTTTGACAGTTTGCTCTTTCTGGCAAAGGCTTTGGAGCCTTGGTTCCGCTCGATCGCTTCTTTAATACTTTAATACAAGCTGTATTGAAGTTGTGTAAGTCCCTCTGCATGCATTTGGAGATCTGTCTGTTCAGTTGCCTCTATGCTTTCAAATCTGTTGAAGACTGCATTGTGTTCTTCTGCGGTAGGTCTTGCAGTACTTAGTTCCGACCGCATGACCAGTTTCCACGAGCTTATCATTCATATATATCATCATCCACTTCATTGCAGTCTTCTAGGCACTGAAAATGGTTTTGTAACTCTAGCTGAAAGGGTTCGGGACTTTGGATTAGAGCACGAGAGACATCACTGAATAGTTGTCGTCTGGTCGTCATAATGAAGTCAATCTTATTTTTTTGTCGAACTGTTGGGGTTCGACCAGGTCCACTTCCTGTGGGGCTGCTTCTGGAAGAAAGAGTCCCTCTTTTTCCATGAAGTCGGACCGCTGTTGTTCCCTTGGGTTCCGTTGCCCTATTCCAAATTTCCCTACCTCCAGCTCACCGTTATCTCTTGTGCGTAGTTTTGCATTGAAGTCTTCCCATTAACACCGTATAGTGGGTTTTGGAGGAATGCATGGCTTTAGAGCTCATACATTTATTTCCTCTACCTCCTCATCGGGATGTGCCGACGTTGGTGCGTAAACCTGCATGACCTCCAACGATACTGTTTGGTGATTTTGAGTATAAGGTACGCAACCCTCGTCGACACAATGTTTACAACGTTGTTAACGAGAGACGTGTGGACGATAAATCCGACACCTCCTTGGGACAGATAGTCGCCCTCCCGGTGATAGAACAAGTTGCTGGATTCGAGGATTACCGTGTCCTCCCTCTCTCTTCGCACCTCGGATAATCCCTTTAATAAGCGAGCGTAACTTGTGTATCTCTTCTTCCAGCTCCAGGATCTTCTCGTCAGTCCTCAGGGTGCGAGCGTTGTATGTTGTCAGGTCGAGTCGTCTTAGGTGGGAATCGAACCTCCACCGGAGATTCATAGCATACCCTGGCCCTCCGTTACCATCGTCGCCACCTTAGCCAGGAATAGCGGGCCCGCCGGGGACTGGGGGCCGTCTCTTCGTCACTTTCATCATGGGGAGGGTGGGGAGGGGGGGTGGGTAAATTTGCCATAGTTGCCACGCTTAGCGAGCGGGTTGGTAACCGAAGTTTTTTTACTCTAACATTGCTGTTATCATGCTGCCCATCTCCTGCCTGTTTCCTATTGTCGCCTTTTACGACACCAACGGGAAGATATGGGGTAGTGCATATTTTTAACCGCTACTACACGGCAACGGTCATGTTGTTTCGGATTTTTTTACTAACACAATATGCGGATTCGTCGAGCGACCTGTTCCGAATATGTATCAGAGTTGTCGCTGTAACCGAGCTATACTAATTCTAATGTAATGTAACCCCCCGCAAAAAGACAGTTCTGTGTGCCTAGTGCGAGTGTATATTTATACGTACTCGATACCGAGAAAGTTAATTACAATTTGTATGGAATAAAATCATTGCCAACTAGTGGCAATAATCGGAATCACTATCGAGCATTGACTCATTCGACAGTGAGAACGTTAACTCACGTGAATGGTTGTTGGGTTGGAGTGACAATTTCGATCGTTTTGACGTAAAACTACGCCGTCGATATCGAAAAAGTTTTCACCTAAATTTTTACAGTGAGATAGAAGAGAGAATAATATTTGAAGAGTTAATTTTATTTCGTTTTGTGAGAACGCTATATATTTTAGGCACACGGGGGTAATCTATGTTTAGGCAGGACGTTTTTTTTTCGTTAGGAGGATGTTTGCACTTTGCAGCCACAAAGGCATTAATAACTAATAATAATAGATGACTGCTATTATAACGCCAGCGTTGAAGCAAGAGCTTGTGCATATTTTAGTCCGTTGTTACACCCCGATGACAGGTAATTTAAGTAAAGTATTCAAGTAAGTAACAGTATTAAATTTTTGTGTAAATAGCGTTTGATAAATCCAAGTTCCTACCATCACTATTTAATAATTAAGTCAGTAGTAAGTATCATAAGTTCACTTAACACTTAGTAACTAAATTTCATTCACTGCTCCATAAATGTCACCATAAAATCCTTCGATCAATAATACCAACTAGATATCGGGTCGGCGCAAAAAATACGGCGAAGTAAATAACAGCGCACTGGAGACGTGAGTTCTTATTTCGTTTAGTTGACTTGTAACAGCCAAACGTGTTTATATTAAACACGTTTGACAATGCCGCAATGTATATTTAAAAGTTGCAAGAATAATGCCCGATAAAGCAATTTAACAGCCGGAGTGTCTTACTTTCGGTAAGTACATGTAGAATAAGTTATACTTTATGCTCTAAACTAACAACTATTATCATATTTGAAACAAAATTACCGATTTTAAAGCACCCCTACAAATGTTTTGCCAAGGTTGGACAATAC